CTCTAAAACGAATTTTTTCCTTCTCTCTCGCTCTCTCTCTTGGGAACAAATACTAATGCACAAAGAACAATTTGCTCCTTTTTATTAACTTTTTTTCCTATCTATCTAAGAACAAAGAACTATAAAGAAAATTGAAAATTGTTGTTATTGTTGTGATGAATGCTTTTCTTTCTTATGCTATTCTTAAGACCTTTAATGTATAAAGGTAGTTGTATGGCTTGGATGGGTGGTGGAAAGTGGTGATGTGTATGTTCAGATTATGTGCAAATGGTTGATTGGTATGATTTTTTGAAATTGAGAATATGTAGGTCAAAGGAGAACGAATTGCTCTGATGACAAATTGATGCTGGATTCAAGAGGGGAATTGTAGGAGAAGGGGAAAGGGGGGGAAATGAGTGGAATGAGGGATAAAAGAGATAAGAAGAGAGGAAGAAATTCAATTTATTTCATAACCAAAGGTTGTTCTATAACAAAGCAAAAAGACCCATTTATACGGGGTTTAAACTAGTCCTAATTAAAGCAGGAAATTATTGTAAAATTAACGGAATCAAAACATTAATTATGTTTTCTAAAATGACTTTCAAAATTGGAAACTAAATAAAATAATCTCTCTTTAATATTGCATCAATATGTCTTCTACAAGTATATTGATCTCATCCATGTCGAGATTATTTATTCCAAAAATTTTACTCTTTTCCCAGCATTAGAATCATGCATGAATTATTGAATAGTACCTAGAAGAATATCAACACAATAATCAAGTGGGTAGCCAAAATTAACAATAAATAAATAAATAATGAAAATTTTGAATCCAATATAAACTAATAAACTTAAACAAATACTTTATTCCTGACAATGGCATCAAAAAAAATTGTAAACCTATAAGCGTACTCGATCATTAATAAGTAACAGATTTAGTAAATTGAAAGTTATTGTTCTATAGAGAATAAATTCAATTCAAATTTCCTATATTTTATGGAATTCGAATTGTATAAAACAAAAGATCTCTTTTTTATTATATTTTTATTCTAAATTAATCTAAAAGAATATGTATAATTAGGATTTTTATTAATTTATGGATGTTGATATTAGATTTCGAGTCCACTTATTATTTTCTATTTCAATTCTCACTTTTATGTAATTTTATTTTGTTCTTGACAAGCGATAAAGGGATAATATATAATTTTCTCTTTCAAGATAAATTAAAATTATTCTAGTCACGACCCCCGAATCTACTTCTAGCTTGAATTCGAATGTATAGAATAAATTAAATTTTAGATTATCTATATGATTACACAAGTGATAAATGTTATTCTTATTATCTATTGCACATGTATTAATTTTGCCTCGATCTGAATTTATTGTGAGTCTCTCAACACTCCAACAAGTAATTTATTATCTAACGGGTAATGAAGCAATTAAATAATGCAATAGATACACAAAATTAATCAAGAAATACAAGAATTACTAAACTACTAGTTTCAATTAAAATTAATAAATACAAGAATGAAAAATATGTTTCGTCCAATACAAGGAATCTAGTTAAATATGTTTCTAATGATAAAACATTAAAAGAATGAAAAACATTATATGGAATTTATAAATATAAGAAAGAGATGTCACGTCTAATTCTTCAAGTTCTTAATGTTTCTTGAATATCAACCTTCGAGCTTTAATTCTTCGAGTTCTTATTGTTTCCTAATTCAATCCATGTGCTAGATTTGTTCTTCCCTTCAACTTATGATGAATGTCCTTTGTTTCTTGAATGATTTTATGATATGGTAGTGATTTGAGAATTTAAAGAGAGATGCTTTAATGGCTGCCCATGTCTTCACTATATAAAGTGAGATTAGTTCGAATTTTTTATTCAAATTGAATCCCAGAAGAGTTTCAATTGACTATGGAAGCTAGCTCGCGGGCAAGGAAAAATGGAATTGCAATCATTAGTATTTTTATCGTAACTTTATTTCCCAATATCCGGTTGTGGTAATCAAAGTGTGTTAGAAAGCTAACTCAAAGGCTACGATTATTCTAGAAATAGAATTTCTCCAATTCGAATATTTAATATGCAAAAAATGGACCTCAGACTCCAGATGAAAATCTGGATTCTAAATCGCGCGTTTAGAAATTGATTTGTGAAATACTTTTGATTATATTTCCACTCATTTAACCTTCAATTGCATCCAATTGATCCTATGTGACCTTCGATCATTGTTTTGTGGTCTAAATCAACGATTGAATGTTTGCACTTTGATCCCCATTTCTTTCATTTTTTATCATTTTTCTTCCTTTGTTCCATTTCCACCAATTTGCCTCAAAATTTACATAACAAACAAAATTAAGACATAATTAATTAAGCACCAATTCATTCAAATCAATAATAGCTAGTCTCATTTAATGGCCCAAATAAGTGGGTGCATGGGGTCTCGTGACCCCCAGCTTTTGGATGATTTTTTTTGGGGTCGGTACGGGATGTTAAACAAAGTCGAAATATCGCATTCTTAGTACCATTTCGAAGTACTCATAACCTAGTTTTCTATATTATAAACGGCACACGAAATGGCCAATCCAGGTAAATATTACAATTTGTCAAAGTAGGTCATTCCAAATTGGAATTTCAAGAATTTTGAAAACATGCTAATCCTAAAAAAAATTTGACAATCGTATATCAGTTGAATCTATAAATCGCCTACATCATCTTGAAGTTCGTTCCAAGAACTATATCATAGATATATTGAATGATCTAATGGATATTGAATCAGTTATGGCACTGGTTATAGATGAAAGATTGCTATGGAAATTCACATTTTACTTTATTTATAAGCAAATCAAATGATACATACGAAATTACAAGCAACAGTGCATGAAGTGTGTCAAATATGTCACCAGTAAAATTTTATATGTAATGTTACACAACATTTGGAGAGTTCTAGGTTAAAATATATTGATATCAAGTTATGGATTGCAATAACTACAGATGCCAATGAATCAACCCTCTGAATTTATTCCAGTGGAATACTTGAAGCATTAGGATGAGGTTTGTTGAGAAAATATAAAAAAATGCCATTCTAGAGAATATAATTAATGTACTCAATGTGATGTAAAAGGATAATCTTCCTTTAAAATTCATTGATCATCATAGAATCATGACATTTTTTCCCATTAAATAGAGTCGTTGCATTATTTGTGTTGCAATGTAATAGTATCACATTAAGATTTGTACATAAAAAAACTTCAAATGCTAATGCATTTAGATGATCAATTCATTTCGATATTTTACTAGATGCATTGTATAGAAATTTCTCGATAAAATTACATATTAATAAAATTTAATTCGTATGCCTAAAACCTATGAAATGCCTCAAACATATTTTTTATGAGCGCTGGAGTTTCAAAGGTTGAGCGTACTGGGTTGGTCGCTGCCGTGAGAATTTTGAACTCCCAAGATCGATGTTTCAATTTCCATGGATTCTTGTTTCCAAATTTTCCTTTATTTTTAAGAACTGAAACTTATTGGCTGCTATAGCCTAAATTCAAGGGAATACATATCATCCCATTTTTAACTTATTGTTTTAAATTTTGAACGACACCCTAATTTTGAGGGATTCATTTAATAATATAGTAAGCTACATGGTATCCAATTAAATCTTATGTTGGTTTAAATTTAGGAATTAATAGCAAACCCTATCATGCTATATATACATAATGGTTGACATAATCTTTACATAATGTCACATGAGAATATATTATTAGACTATTTAAAATATAGTTAGTTTTTTCATCTAATCACATCTTGCCATTACATATTATATCAACCATTATATCACATACTTTATAGTAGGAGTGGGCGCGGTCCGGTTTGATCCGGTTCCAAAGGAAATCGAACCGAGCCTAATACCAATGTGAATTTTAGAAATGGAACCATTGGTTTCATAATTAGCCATGGAACCGAACCGAAATCGAGACCGAACCAATTGGTTCCGATTCGGTCCGGTCCGATTTTTTACATTTAAAATGTCAAAATAAAATATTCACTAATAAAAACTCTAAAAATGCTACAAACGTGATACTTTTAACAAAATATAGAAAAATCGAACATACTATTCAAAGATTTATTTAGATATAGATTTACAAAGTGAAAACAAAATAAAAATTTCGCATCTTATAAATGAAATTTTATATTGTAAATAAATTTATTTAGATATAGATTTATCTAATATTTTAATTTAGTTTGAGAATCAATTAATCAAAGGATTATAAGAAGAGACAAGGAAAGAATCAAAGAGAAGAAGGAAAGTGTTGGAGTCTAAAATAAAAAAGGAATTCGATTATTTTTGATAAAAGTATTGGAGATTGAGTCATATATTTTACCCAAAAAAATGCAAAAAAAAAAGAAAAAGAAAAAATCCAATGAGAACCGTCTGGTTCCCATACTAGAATCGGGAACCGATCGGTTTTTAAAAATTTGTCCCGAAATCAAATTATTTTTTAGAAGATCCGAAACCGAACCGATCGGTTCTAAACGGTTCCGATCCGGTTCCACCGGTTCTGGAAAAAAGTGTTCACTCCTACTTTTGTGTTTCTTCTTTTACTTAAAAAATTACAGTAAAAATGGAATAAAAAGAGATAAAATGTATAATATGAATTATTTTATTAATAGGGGTAATAAATGTAAATTCCTCATCAAAAACACCCTAATTTAAGGTCCACTTGGACTACAGTACTCGGCCCAGAAAAATCATGGGGAAACATGAGCCCAATTCTCCCCCAACATTCCAACCCCACCTGTATAAAATAAAATTTCTCCCCCACTCCTAAAGTCATACGCCATATCTATTTTACGCTGCAGATCTGTGAACTGGAGAATTCGCCATTGGGAGTAGTAAGCTTTTTCTTACTTCAACAATTTTCTTGCATCCATTCTCACGAAGGTGTTTTGCTTCTAATATCCAGATTTGATAGGTGTGTTTATTGTTGGGGGGGGGGGGGAATTGTTTATTAATCTGCTATTGTACTGTGACATAATTACAGAAGTTTGTTTATTTAAATTGTTTGAAATGCTCAAATATTTTCATTGGATTTCCTAAGATTAAAGAATTGATGTTGTCAAATATTTTGATTCTTTGTTCAACATGTGGCTCTGGGGTTTATTTATATTTGAAAGCCTTTGTGTATGTCTGATGTGGAATCAGTCGAAATTTGAACTGTGATCACTTACATTGCCAAAAATCATATCCTAATCTGGAGTCGAGATTCTGATGTTGATCATCCAACCAAAGATGTATGTTATTCGTGTCGGTAGTCTCTTTATTTTTTATTTTTCAATTTTATACATATGTTCTTATATCTAGTTTTGACAGCTATATAATATATTGTAATTGTTTGTTCCTTTTCTAAGACATTTGAAAATAAGGGTTCGGAGGTTAGGTTTTTACCGAGATTCGGGACCTCGACTTCTCTAAAGTACTCTGATGGGAAGAATTCAGTCAAGCATTCGGCGTAAATATTGGGGTTTTCACAGCCCTTTGTGTGATTGTGGGGTTTTGATTGAAAGTACAGTTCCGCCATGTCGTCCCCCTAGGCTGGACCGTGTGATTAATAACTGCTCGTATTCGAGGAGGTCGATTTTGCCTGTAGAGTTCATCAAAAAGGTTAGAAAGAGAAATTTGAGGAGAATAGAACCTAAGGAGGATGATGATGGTGAGCTGGAGAACACTAAGGATGAAGAAGGCGATGACTAGGCTTCGGTTTCAAAATTTGCTGGTAAAAAGAAAGGGAAGGCCAAGAAAGATGGAAGCAATAATGCGTTGAGGGCTTCAAGTTTTGGTTTACTTGGAGAAGGAGATGATGAGGATAATGAAGATTCAGGAATAACAAAGAGAATGTTGATTATGAAAAATCAGGATAATGAAGTAGCAGGTTTTGCACCTTGTGAGAAGCAAATTACTGAGCTTCCTAAAGTTGGAAAGGACGAGAGAGCACTGAAAGTGGCGAAGAGGAAGTTGGGCACCCACAAGAGAGCAAAGAAGCGTGAAGAGATGGCATTTGTTCTCCGGAATCTGAGGTGAATGACAGTAATATAAATTGTTAAGTAATAAGTACTATAGTTTTTGCTCGCATTGTTTTGATGGACTTGAGCCTAACTTCTGTTGCTTGATGGATACCTATTTTCATAATTCTTGATTTTATTCATCTGTATTTTGGCAATAAATGGTTAAATTCATCCATTTCCCGTATGAATGCTCACAGTTTGTTTTAATTCGAACAATACAGGGCTGCTGGACGTGGAGAAAAGAAGTAAACTGCTGCACTTGATTTCTTAGGAGGGTTTCACGGTTTACATCAAATCAGAGATAAGATTTGAGTTGTTTAGCCACTTTATAAACTTAAACTGGAGATTGTAATTTTTATTTGACCGTTTGGAGAAGTTTGTTGATGAGACTTGTTTTTTATTGAAGGTTTTGCTAACCGTATTTTTCTACTTGATATTCATTTGTGATTTGCATTTGAACCTAACTTATCATATCATTGCTAAACTTCACTTATTGTATTTTATTTATTTATTTTACATTTTGTAAAGCTATGATATCTAAAAGCCACATAGTACATTAGTTTAAAATCCATTCATTACCCAATCACGGGAAAGAATAAAAGCATGTCTATATGCTTAATTGAAATTTCCCATCAAGGTAATAAAACCTGGAGCCATCGGTGTACAACAAATCTTGAGATTGTTAATTCTTATGTCATTTGCCAATAAAGTAATCACCTTTTTGAGCGGTTAGTATATCGAGTTAAGTGCTTATCTTTCAGAGTAATGCTATTCATCTAGATTGTAGGTGGCATTAAAAGATAGGTACACTTAAATTGCTATACATGAAGTTTATAACAAGGGTTAACGAATATTGTTCAACTGATGGTTTTAAGTAATTTGCGTTGATCCTCTTGTTCTCAGTCTTTCAAATTGGAAAGAGGTCTAGCAATCAGTCCTATTGATGAAGAATATTAAAGATTTTTTAAAGTAGAAATTGCAAACAAGATACGAGTTCTCTTAATACAAATTTTGTAAAATCATCTCAAATGTTAATGTAGATTGCTTAAGGCATTTTGTGATTTATCCAAATTAAAAATGTCTGAAAGAATCTGTGTTCAATGTTATTTGATCATAATGTTTCGTAGAGGTCATGAGTTGGCGGAGTAGAAGATTGCTTTGGAAATTCAATAATAGATACTGTCCGTTGTATTCTACGATGGAAATTAAATTTGTTTTGGCAGGGAAGGGAAGGGCATAAAAAGGATAGGACATAGAGATCGGTATTTATAGTCCATATTCTGTTTCAATTAATTTTAGAATTTTACTACCTGTGTAGACAATGGTTATAGTTTCTAACTTGTCAATTGACCATTTTAAATTTTCTTTTTTGGAGAAACTTCGCAGGGCCACATGCATAGACAGCAGGGCAATTGTCAACTTTTCATCAAGTTGTGATATAAGCTATATTTCAAGGGAACTTAATCAATTATTGATGGAACAAGGGTACAAACAATATGCTGTAAATAATTCTCTTCAAATATATTTCATTTGCTTTCTTAATTACCATTTAAATCCTTTTCGTTTCTTTTCACATCAATAAATTGAACGCTCACATATATTAATTGAAGAAGATTCTCGATCTAGAATATCTGGGCTCTGTGATGCTCGGATGCTTCTTTTCGGCCGGCATACCCGTGTCGACACGACACAGGTACAGGTATGAGAGTCAAGGGCGAACTTGTTGGAGTTGATTGCTGCATTGTTGCAAAGAAGAACCTCAAGCAGAGAAGAAACTCGGGAACGGAAGGGTTAGGGAAGGAAGAAAGAGTGCTGGATTGCGCCTTTTTTCCATTAAGTTTTGGGCCATTAGTTTTGGGGTCTTTCTTTTTAAAAAAAATTACACAATGACAGGTGTTTGGAGATCAGTTTTAAAAAATCAGGTCCAAAGTTTAATTAATAAAAAATTAGGTTTATATATATAATTAATCAACCTCTAATTAAATCCCCAAATCAATTCCAATCCCTAATCATTTCAACCCATTTCCATTACAAAAATTTTCCCATCCCCATCTCTCCCTTCTCTCTTCATCGCCAGTGACACCTTCGAACTCTGCAACCGGTAATGAAGGTGACGCGTCGGTGCCGACGAAGGAGGCGACGCGGTTTTTGATTTCGGTTTAGTAGCGTCGCAATGCTGCAAGTGATGGTTTCAGCCCCGTTTCTTCCTTCTCTCTTTGACGCCGCAAGTGATGGTTTCGGTTCCTCTGTTGTTTGTCATTGATGGTGGTGGTGTGGTTCGTTGACCGATCGACGTCGTCATGCGCAATGATTCTCTCGGTTGCGACAGTGGCGTGATGCCGTTTCTTCTCTGCTCACGATGGCGACGGCGAGGGTGTTTGCGATATGTTGCTGTGAACTTCGATTTGTTCCAGAACCATAGCCTTTTGCGATCTGCAGTAGCTGTTGATGTGGTTGGTCTGTAATTTACAAAAGCAATGGTATATTGTTCTATGTGTTGGTTATGGTCCTGGTGACTATTATGATTTCCGGCAGTGGTCGTGTTGCTTGTGCGGTGTGGTGATGGTGGCATTTGTGGTTATGCAAGTGGTGACGAGGTGATCGTGCAGGAGGTGGTGGTGGTTGTAGATTGTGTGGTTAGACGGTGAGTGGTTGAAATTTTCTCTGATTTGAGGTGTTTTACCAATTCCTGGTGTTTCTCTGGTGGTGATGGTGGTGGTGGAATTATTGGTGGTGGTGTATATGACCTTTGGTTAAATCTGTTACCTTAAAATTGGGTGTGGTCATTGTTTGCAGTGACCAAATATTAGTGTTGATTTGGGATCGTGGCCGATATGTCTGGTGTATATGATCAACGATTTGGTTTGTGACTTTGAAATTTGATAATTTGTGATTAAAAAGTAATTTGTGACCAATATATAAAATGTGAACTATAACTTTTTTGGTCTGTGACCAACGAATAAATTGTGATTGTAAGTCTATAAACTGTGACCTTAAAATTCGATCAACTATGATTAAAAAGTAATCTATGATCATCAAATTTAAAAATATGTGACATGTGACTTATACAGTTTTTGATATGTGATATCGAAATAATCTGTGATTTACAAAATTTTTGATTTATGACCTTGAAAAATCCGTGATCAATTAATTTGTTGATATGTAATCAGTAAAAAAATCTGTGACTTATAATTTTGTTCATGCGACTATTAATTGTGTAAATGTGATCTCATTATATTTAATTAATAAAAAATTTAATTAATTAACTAAAACTTGATTTTTGCATTAGTTAAACTTAAAATCTGATTCTTGAACTGTGCATAGTTAAACCATGATTTGTGAATTTTTCCCATGTTATCAATATAGGTCAAATTGAACATGTAACCTTCAACTCTTAAACTTTTACAGTTTGATACTTATATTTTTTTCTTTTGCATTTTAAACATTTACATTTGTTCTATTTTGTACTTCATTCCCCAACAACAGTTTCTAATTTTTTAACACTTCGAGAACATTGAAATTGTGTAAATATAGGATACTTAAAATTGTTGTCATATAAGTCAAAAACATATTTAAAAAATCTTTTTCATTGGGCCTTCACTTTTGGGGCTTTCTAGTTAATTTTTAATATTATTTTGGATTAATTTTTGCTTCTTCGTTTTTCAAAATGTTTATATGAAAAGCTAAAAAATAAAAGATTTTTTTTTAATGAATTCTAACGATTTAAAGGGAGGTTTGTGTAATTTGCCCCAAAAAATAAAGGGAAATTAACATGGATTGTAAAAACATTAACAAACTTTGCCAATCATTTATTATTTAACTTTTAACACGTGAATTTTTGGAAAAAAAAAATGAAGTCTAAAAAAAGTATCCACGAACCCATATCCGAAATTGACTCTTTTTAGCCATATCCTCGTAATCTACTTTTTAAAAAATAAAAGATCCGGTACTTGGATACGTATCCGTACCAAAGTCCGAGCAACATTGTTGATGTGTACAAAAGATTTTTGAATGGGTAATGACGAAGTTAATGACTCCCATGAGTTTTCTGTGTGTCTTGGGAGAATGGAAATTTTTTGATATTTATGGTATCAAATCTTTTGTCACATATTAGTAAATCTATATTGTTTTATACTAATCACGCACTTCCTTTTTTATAATAATAATAATTCTACCAATAACATATAGGACCTTGCGAGAAAAAAATGTCTGAGTTGCTTGGGTATTGTCACCTAATGCATTTCTCCTATTAAAATCTATGAAAAGTACCTTCCAAATGTGTTTCTCAAAACCAAATCCAAGGTAATATAAATATTGCTATGCGTTTTCCACAACGTGAAATTACCGCAAGTGTATGATGTCAAGTTTTGTAATATAGTATTTAAATCCAAGGTAATATATTGCTATGTGTTTTCCACAACGTGAAATTACCGCAAGTGTATGGTGTCAAGTTTTGTAATATAGTATTGAAGCAAGAGTGTTCAACCGTAGGGATTGATATTCGAATCCTACTAAGTACTATAGTTATTTTAGCCTTCACTTTATTTAGAAAATCAAATTTTGAAATGATGTTTTTAAGCTAAATTAAAGTGAATGGGATGAATGATGCAAGTGAACAAAGGCAAATTGTAAAATTTATTATCAAATTATGAAGGTCTAGGGAATGTTTTCACCATACTATCGCAATGTTTTTCAACCTTTATAACTATTTCTATCAATCTTTCCAAAATTTATAGGCGAGAACACTAAATTAATTCCATTCCCTCTCTCGAATGTCGAATAGAATTTATTTCTATATTTTAATTCTTATATTTCTATTCTGAATTAAAACCTAAAAATTATCAAGCACGTGATTCTTAATTAGAACAAGCCTCAAAGAGTTCACACTTCCTCTCGAAACCTCCAAAATTTAGGTTATATTGTTTTTAGATCAAATCTAATTTTTCCTCTCTCAAACGCTGAAATTTAAAGCATCAATCAATAAATTAGTGGCCAATTAGTTGAAAGCATTGCGCAAGAATCAACATAAATAAATAACCAGAAAGATCAAATGAAATAATTATATGGAATCAAAATATGTCTAAGTAGGCTACATCAAACCCTAGAATTAATGCTTAGTGCATAATCGAAATAATTGATAAAAGTGAATTATAAAGAAAGCACATAGAGAAGAAAGAATAATGCTATTAATTCCCAATGGAGTTGCATCCCCAATCTGGATGGATAAATAACTTCCACCTAAAATTTAACAAATGCTATTCATCCACCTAGAGTGGGGATGCAACCCGGATGAATAGAATTACTCGAGAAGAAAAGGAATAGAAAAACACGTTTTGCTGCTCTATTTCTTCTCCCAATTGTCAATTTCTCTCGATTAGTTTCCTCTTCTTTATCCCTCTTCAGCCTTGTCCTTCAAATTCTTCCTGTGTGTTGGCTGGAT